CGGCAAAAATCTACGCCGGAGCTCTGTCGACTACATCCAGATGGACGAATTCAAGAAGGATCGAAGTCCGAAAGACAAACTCAAAAAAGTAGCGCCACCATCCGCCCGAGCATCGCACCTGTGCAGACTAGAAAACCCTAACCTAAACTGCTAAGAAAACGGAGGCATCAGGATTCTCCTCCCTGCCACCAGCCGCTGGAGCGGCAGAGCAGAGGGGAGGCAACAAATTACATCAGATTGAAGAAATCAAACTACAGATGGACCCAAAAAAAAATCTGATTTTAACCAAAATTTGAATTCTTTGACATCGCTGCCTTAGTTTCATCTTTATCGCCACTTTTTTCGCAGCTATTGCTGTACGGCAGGGAGCAAATTGCATAGTACGTGGCTAAACATCGGGCCGCTCATGTCGTCCTTGTCAGGAAAGCTCGGCACTCAACGCCGCTTTCCTTCTTCCCCCCGTTCTCGGCTGCTCTCCCCTCCCTCCTCCCTATCCGACCGCCATGGCTTCCGCCCCTGCCCTGTATCACATCCTGCTTCACTTTCTCAACCCGACCCATTCTCACCACCTATCCTCTCCCCCCACACGCCACCGCCACCGCTGCCTCGCCCTCTCCTCCGCCGCCGCGCGCCTCCCCAATCCCAACGTCGCCGCCCCCTCTCGTTTCGGCCCGGTGAGGAGAGCCAGCGCGAGCCAACTAGCGTTCGAGACAGAGGAGGGGGAGGAGACGGCTCTAGCGTTCGATACGGAGGAGGAGGAGGAGACGCCTCGGTGGCCCGCTACGCAGGCGCAGTCTGACGACGAGGATGACGAGCAGGAGTGGGCCGGGGGCAATGGCACGGCGGCGCACGGGGAGGAGGAGCATTACGGCGGAGATCCGGCGGCCGAGGATGGGAGCGGGTGGACGCGGCGGCAGCCGCGGCCGCGCGAGCTGTTCGTGTGCAACCTGCCGCGCAGGTGCGGCGTCGACGAACTGCTCGAGCTCTTCGGGCCATACGGCACCGTCCTCTCCGTCGAGGTGCGCTCCCTTGCATTTCACGCGTCGCGCGCCTGCTCTGCTGTTGGATTTCATACTGTTATTATACGCTACACGGTGTTTATCATCCATGAAGAAGAATTGCACGGGCCAGCTGAAGCACTAGTGACGCCCCCTGGCTGGCTGGCTCCAAGTGGCTTGGGACATGGGAGGTACTAGGAGATAGGCATGGCCCGTGCAGCCATGGACCATGGTATTGCCCCAGGCCTATGACTGACCATCCATGCTCGGGAGTTCATAGAATTAAGTGAAGTTACTAGGCAACCCCATACATAGAGTTTAACTCACCTGCCTCGCCATCAGCAAGGCTAGCAACTCCACAGATCTCAATGGATGCTCTGAACCACCTGTTACGCAGCAGGTTTGGTATTTTGGATAATTCAATTGTGCAGAGGAAACAGCAGTCTGTCGTTTTTTCTCCTTTTTATGTACTTTATTTGGATGTTTACAATCTCTACTGGTGGCTCTTGCGCCTATCATTCCATGATAGCTTACTGAAAACTGCTGATGAACATATGGTGGGGTTTAGAGCATCTCCAGCCGTTGGCCCCCAGGGGGCGCCTAAAATCGCCGCTTGGGGGTGAGCCGGCGCAAAAAAACGGCTTGGGGGCGAGTTGCCCCGCAATCGCCATCCCCAGGGCCGCCCCCAGGCGCGTCTAATTTTTCCAAAAAAAAAAAGTTCGGCGAAGTTTGGTTAAACACGGCTAAATTTAGGCAAACTTTGGCATATATTACATGTTCGCGACGCGTTTACATAACAAATATAACTAAAAAAAGAAATCGCTAAACGCGGAGTAGTCGCCGTCGTCGGCCTTCTCCTCCTTGACGCGGCCGTCCCGGCTGCACCCCTGCCCGGCGTCGCCATGGCGGACAGGTGCCGGCGGCGCGTCGTCGTCGCTGTCGTCGAGGACGACGACTCCTCCTTCGCGGCCCCGGCGGCGCTGCTCGAAGCGCCGCAGTGCGGCGACCTGGCCCTCCCTCTTCATCCTGAGGAAGTCCTTGCGCGCCCATTTCAGGGCCGCATCGTCGTCGAGCGCCACCTCGCCGGGCTCCGTCTTCACGGCGGGGAGCCCCGGCTCCGTTTTCACCGCCGCGAGCCCGGGCTCCGTCTTCGGCTTGACGAACCGCGGAGGAGCCGACGAGGGGGCGCGCCGACCGCCTTCGTTGATGACGATGCCGACGCTGCGAGTGCGCCGGCCGAGCGGCGTCTCCGCCGCGGGCTCGGTCTTGACGCCGAGCAGCGCCGGAGAGCCGGAGGAGTGGGAAGAAGATCGCGACGAGGATGAGGAAGACGATGAAGAGACGAACCTCCTGGGCAGCCATTGCCCGGCGCGTCGGCGGCGGGCCGGGGCCAGGGCCGCCGGGGGAGGGT